AGCGGTGGTCTAATCAACCTAAGCACTTCGCAAAGCATCTACGCTAATCAGCTAATGAATCACTAAGCACTATGCAAGTTGAGATTACTAAAATGGTGTATCAACACCCTTGGTATGTTTTCTCAGCTCCACACATCTCATTTGGCCGGTTGGGGGTTGTATTTATAAGCCCCACTGAGAAAGTAGCCATTGGAGACGAAATCCCGCTTTTCTGCTACTGACCGGACGCGTCCGGTCATCCCGATCGTTGGAGCCACGATCCACTGATCGGACGCTGCCAGCGTCCGGTCATCCACCATTGGACACGTCGGTTCATAGTTTCGCCGCTCTAGAACCTCTCTGTACTCGACCGGACTCTACTGTCCTGCATCCGGTCGATTTGCCTCCAGCGTCCGGTCGCTGCTGCTAACGCCTGTTGCTGAGCCACTTGATCGGAGCATCCGATTGCTTTCCTCCAATGTTCGGTCACCTCTGTGAGCTCATTTCTTCGCGATCTTGCGTACGGCTTGGTTCCTATCTTCGTGCTTTGACTTTGCTTGATATCTTGGGTCTTCTCTTGTGCTTCTAAAGTCTTGCTTATGGTGTTGATCATCGGATCATCACATTGCCTTCGTCCAAGTCACGTCTTGCACCCTATTGAACTACAAAACAATCACTTGCAAATTCATTAGTCCAATTTGGTTGTGTTGGTCATCAAACACCAAAATCCAAAGTAAATGTGCCAATGGTCCATTTTCCTTACATGGAGACTAGTATAGCCATTGTATCTCTTTATTTATGACTTTGTGCTACTTCAATATTAAGTTGTTATTTATTATGTTCCTAGTTTGCTCTAGTAATATGCTTGATATAGTTATGATTGATGATGAATATATGCATATGTTCACAAAGCTCTTAGCTCAGTACTCGAGTGAGTTAAGTGTCCAACATTATGTAAGCATGTTGCTTAGATATTGTTTGCCTACGGATGCATTCTGCACTCTGGGTCATGTGGTAGATCACGGATGTGACACTCCTGTTGAGTCCTTTGTAGTCCACTCCCCGTTTGTAGAGCACGTAGAACGTGATTACAAAGAAAGACAAGCTCCATTCTTAATCTTCCTTAGTAATGTTCTTTATGCATAGATCCAAAGTTAGTTATACTATAGATGAGAGTGTATATACTTAGGTGTACAAAAGATTTAGTAGATAAGTAATGACTTAGGAATATTTTGCTCTTAACGAATCTCCTGCTTAGCCTTACTATATTTTATGAGTATCTATTTCTATCTCTGGAACACCATTATTACCTTATACTTATCATTTATTTATCATTTGACTTACTCCTGCCATAGCATGAGAGTGGTTTTATCATAAGTTTACATATTTGTCAATATCTCTATGCCAACACAACCACATAGCTCCTCCCTGTGGATAAAATATAAATAACGATACTCGGTATACTCTCGGGTAAAATGCTACAATGGTAAATTATCTATGCGCTTGCGGATACCTTATATATATAGTTTACAAGTGTTCACATAATTACCAACAACGCATTTCTGGCATCATGCTAGGGATGACAACTTAGTTAACAGTGATGCTAAGAAATGTCAACAGCGTGGCGAACGCGCTTCCCTGGCCGACGCGCGAGGTGGCTCTGGTAGGCGTGGAGGCCAGCCCGGCGAGGAAGGTGGCGTGCCGGCTCTGACCCGGCGTGGTGGCCTACCCCAGCGGCGTGGGCAGCCCTAACGGGGGCTGCAGGCTACCCACGGTGCACCTCCGACCTGCCCACGACGCAGCTACGACCATCTATGGTGAGAAGAACATGAGAAAGGATGACATGTGGGACCCACATGTCATCCTCTACTAGGATTTGTTTGGGTAGTCTATTTTAGGTCATACTAAGTTGCTCTAACTTGCCACCACCCTGTGCCTGCATGGGCTCCGACCGACACTACCACAGCCATGGCTAGGCGGCCCCACCGAGCCCCATGCTACTCGAGCGAGGCCACGCCCCGGTGGCCTACCGTAGCTCGCGCCACCAAGTCACTGAATCATGAGGAGGGGCCCCACCGCCACCACCTCGACAAGCGCACGGCCCTGCTAGCGGCGGCGTGGCTAGAGAGGAGAGGGGGCGACGACTAGGGTTGGGGCTGCCCGAGTCACCTGGGGGGGGGGGTCCACCAAAAATCTATCCATATACCTGTTTATACATCTTAGCTTTGGTCGTCATATCTTAGGTTCTTTGCTCCAGGCGCGTGGAGGAGCCAGAGATAGCAAAATAAAAAGAACTTCTAGGCCTTGTTTATTTCCTCTCCCTAAAGTTTACTTCCTATCACACCGGACGCTGGTCATGCAGTGACCGGACGCTGGGGTCCTACGTCCGTCAGTGGCAGTAGAGAATGCGCAGGCGTCGGTCTTCGACCGGACGCTGGCGTTGAAAGTGACCGGACGCTGGCTGGATGTGTCCGGTTGCACTGGTGTGGCAGCGCACAAAGGAGACAGTGAGTGATCGGACGCTGGGTGAGTCCGGTCGCGAGTGGAGGCTTACTGGAAGTGACCGGACACTGGGGTCCTACGTCCGATCATACACTGTGCTGCGTCCGATCGGAACTTAACCGTTGAGATCGGGCGCTTAGTATTTGAAGCTAGGGGTGACGTGGTAGCCATCCGTTGACCGGACGCTAGCAGGGTGCATCCGGTCGATCTGACCAGCGCGTCCGGTCAACCCGAAAAACGCCCAGTGAAGAGGTAACGACTATTTTAGCCCGTGGGGCTATAAATAGAAGGTGGTCTCGGCCATGGCCGGTGCTGAGCACCTCAGGGGACTTTGTGTCCATGCTTGAGAGTGCTTGGGAGCCCTCCATCTCACATATGATTGATAGTGATCATCCGATTATGTGAGAGAGCGATTCTAGTGCAATTGCATCGTGAGGTTGCATCGAGTGGCACTAGGTGATCGAGTTACAAGCCGGTGGTGCTTGTTACTCTTGGAGGTTGCCACCTCCTAGATGGCTTGGTGGTAGTCTCCGTCGAAGCCCGCAAGAAGCTTGTGTGGTGCTCCGGAGAAGAGCTTTGTGAGGGGCATTGTGCTCGCCCCGCGGGAGCCACGAAGAGCAACTCTAGTAAAGCATGTCACTGAGCTACCCTCACTTTCGGGGTAGGTTCTTGCGGTGCCCGACGTGCGGGCTTGGCGGGTGATGCCAATTAGCCACCGAACCATCAAGTGAGCAGTCGACACAACGGGGACTAGCGTGTTAGCAAGCACGTGAACCTTGAGAGAAAAATCACCGTGTCAACTTTATTCATCCCGTTAGTTTGCATCCTCGTTACACAAGCTTGTAATTACTTTCATATACATTGTACTTGTATAGTTGCTCTTGTAATTAGTTTGCTTGTATAGCTCACTAGTTACCTTCTTGCTTATGTAGCATAGAAGTAGCTCCCTTGCGTGACTAATTTAGTTTGTGTAACTATGTTAGTCACTTTGCTTAGTTTGTATAGCTAAGTATTTGCGCTCTCTAATTTGACATTGGTTGTCTTGTTATTGAGCATTACTAGTGAGCTTAGTTGGCTTTGTACTTTTGCTTACTAGCATGTGTAGGAGCTCCCCGTTGGTTAAAGTACTAGTGGCATAGGTTTGTGTGACCTTACTTATAGAATTGATTAGGTGAGCTCTAGCTAGCCCGGCATCTTTGTTGTTTAATTAGAATCTTTGCAAGGTGCTAGAGAATATAGATAGAGAGGGTAGTCTTGGCTAGACCGATAGTTTTAATTCCGCACTTGTTTCGGTTAGCCAGGCGATTAAGTTTTAGTAACAACTATTCACCCCCCTCTAGTCGTCATCTCGACCCTACAAAGACGATGACATATGGGACCCACATGTCATCCTCTACTAGGATTCGTTTGGGTAGTTTGTTTTAGGTCATGCTGAGTTGCTCTAACTTGCCACCACCCTGTTCCTGTCTGGGCTCCGACCAGCGCTGCCACAGCCGCGGCTAGGCGGCCCCGCCGAGCCCCACGCTACTCGAGCGAGGCCACGCCCCGGCGGCCTGCCATAGCTCGCGCCACCAAGTCACCGAATCATGAGGAGGGGCCCCACCGCCGCCACCTCGGTAAGCCGCACAGCCCTGCCAGCGGCGGCGCGACTAGAGAGGAGAGGGGGCGACGGCTAGGGTTGGGGCTGCCCGAGTCGCTGGGGTTCCACCAAAAATCTGTCCATATACTGTTTATATATCTTAGCTTTGGTCGTCATATCTTCAGTTCTTTGCTCCGGTGCGCGGAGGTGCCAGAGATAGCAAAATAAAAAGAACTTCTAGGCTTTGTTTATTTTCTCTCCTCAAAGCTTACTTCCTATCACATCGGATGTTTGACACATGCATAGAGTATTAAATATAGACTAAAAAATAACTAATTGTACAGATTGCGACTAATTTACAAGATAAAATTTTTAAGCCTAATTAGTCTATGATTTGACAATGTGGTGCTACGGTAACATGTGCTAATGGCGAATTGATTAGGCTTAATAAATTTGTCTCGCAGATTACTGAGGACTTCTGTAATTTATTTTATTATTATTATCCGAACACTTCTATATGACACTCAGATATAACACGTGATGTGATATCTCTAAATTTTATTTCCTAAATTTAAACACCACCTTAATTTGCTTTGAAAGGAGAGAGAGAAAAGACTGCTCGCTAGAAGTAGTAGTCACTCGAAGCTCTATGAAATAGGATCCTAGGTCCGAAAATGATTGATGTATTATTATAATAATTATATTCATTTCCAGTCACACGGGAGTGCCAAAACTTGGACACTTGGCGTGCACGCTCATTCTATGCTACTGGTACTAGTAGAGGGATGTATGTTGTCGGCATCGTACTGTATCTCCATGCCTATAAAATAGAAGTACATTCCCAGCCATGAGCAAGTCCCCCCGCCACCACACCAATAGGCAGTGCACTTAACAGTAACTAGGCAGTGCACTCTAGCTCTCCAGGAAGAGCTCGGTGGTCATGTTGTCGAGCACGGCGGCGGCGGCGGCGGCGGCCATGGCATCGCTGCGCACCCTCCCGCTCCCGGTGCTCGTGCCCCTCGTCGCCTCAGCGCTCGTCTTCCTGGCCACCGTGCTCCGGCGCCTGCTGAGGCGGCAGCGGCCGGTGTACCTCCTGAACTACAGCTGCCACCTCCCGGACGCGGAGCGGCAGGTGAGCCTGGAGGTGTGCGAGTACTTCGGCCTCAAGTGCCGCCGCTACTCCGACGACATCGCCGACTTCATGCGCCTGGTGTACAGCAAGTCCGGTCTGGGGCAGGAACCTTCGCGCCGCCCTTCATCTACTCGGGCAAGTTCGAGAAGACGCTGGCCTTCGCCATCCAGGAGGCCGAGGAGGGCCTGTTCGCCGTCGTGGAGCAGCTCCTGGCGAAGTCGGACGTGAGTCCAAGCGACATCAGCGTCCTGGTGGTGGCCTGCTCCATGTTCTCCCCGATGCCGTCGCTGGCGTCCATGATCGTGCACCGGTTCAAGATGCGGGCCGACGTGAAGTCGTACAGCGTCGCCGGGATGGGTTGCAGCGCGGGGACGGTGGGCATCGACACGGCGGCGCGTTCGCTGCGCGCGCGGCGGGCGGGGTCCGGCGGGTACGCGCTGGTGGTGGTGACGGAGAACACGAGCCTGAACTGGTACTTCGGCAAGAACAAGCACATGCTGGTGACCAACTGCATCTTCCGCGTGGGCAGCGCGGCGGCGCTGGTGACGGACGTCCCGGCCCGGCGCGCGGACGCCAAGTACGAGCTGGTGCGCACGCTGCGGACGCACCACGGCGCGGACGACGCGGCCTTCAACGCGGCGCTGCAGATGGAGGACGAGGAGGGCAACCTGGGCGTGGCGCTCACCAAGGACCTGGTCCGCGTCGCCGGCGCGGCGCTCCGGAGGCACATCACCACGCTTGGGCCCCAGGTGCTCCCCATGTCCGAGATGCTCCGGTACGCGTGGCGCGTGGCGCGCGCCTACGCGGCGGGCAACCGCAAGGCGGCGGCGGCGGAGGTGCCCGACTTCCTGCGCGCATTCGAGCACATCTGCATCCACTCGGGCGGGAAGGCGGTGATCGACTCGGTGGCGCGGCTGATGGGGTTCGGGCCCTACGTGGTGGAGCCGGCGCGGTCGACGCTGCACCGGTTCGGCAACACCTCCAGCAGCCTGGTGTTCTACGAGCTGGCCTACTTCGAGGCCAAGCGCCGCGTCCGCGCCGGCGACCACCTCTGGATGCTGGCGTTCGGGACCGGGTTCAAGGCGTGCAGCAACGTCTGGCGCGCGCTGCGGGACGCCGCGCCCGACGCCGACAACCCGTGGAACGGATGCGTCCACCGCTACCCGGTGCCGCCGCCGCCGCCGTCCAAGACGCACAAGCATGCTTGATGTATCTCATATCATTAGCGACGCATCTCGTGCTTGAGTCTGCGTCAGTCAGTCGTTTGATAAGCAACATCAGTGAAGGCGTATGGTCAGTTGTCTGGTATGCTTGGATGCATGATGATCAGCTGTCTGGCTGTCTCATTAGCTCTAAGACCTATATGCATATGCATTGTTTGAGGCATATATATTTGTGTGTCAGTGATATATCTATCCCTTATAATAAAGAGGTAAAATTTCCGATAATTTTTTTTTCGTTTATATATTTTTTGGTCCGTCTCCCTCTAACTACCCCACAATAGAGAGTTTCTTCTGTCCCGATTTGTATATATAGCACGTGCTTAGATAAGTTAGAATATATCTTTTGTCTAGCGCGATATGGAGTCAAATTTCAAAATGTATTGGGTCAAAAACTGAAAGTCTAGATTCCTATGTTTTTTAATATTTATATTGAAAATTGGAAAAAGGAAAAAAAAAGTAACGGATTGAAAACCAATCAGAAGTGACGGAACCAATGGGATGTGGAAAAAGAAGACCACGAAAAAAACGAAACCTATTCATATACTGTAAAGCAACGAAAGAAAATCAAACAGAAAACTTCTCTACGTACGCTAATAAGAAAATAGAAAAACGAATAGAGCGTGTGCACAAGAATTTTTTTTTCGGAATCCCAAATCCCACGCCAGCCAGTAGTGACGTATTTGTCTAAATAAAAATAAGCCGCCGGTCAAGAAAAAAAAGAAAAGAAAAAAGACTAGAAAAAAAAACTCCTCAAAGATATCCTAGGTAACCTAGATAAATAGATCTCTCCGATCACGAGTAAGTTGAATACGAATACTAATAAACAAATAGAAAAGGATAAAATAGAAATCAAGAAGACTTTTTTTGTCCAACTCAGTTCGCCTCTGAATATTAAATCATGGAAGTTTTTATCCGACTACAGAGATGGACTCGCTGTCGTGGGTTGGCGTGGCCAATTTCACCATGCCTATTTTCTTTGACGAACATGTACCCCGTGGCATGTTATTATTGTCACGGACTCACATATGCATGGGGATGGGGTATGGGTATGCATGCAAAAAGATATGCGACCAATTTTTTTGCCCATGCCTTTTTTTTTTTTTTCCATTTTATTTGTCCTTCTGTATAAAACAAATAATAAATATACTTATCTTTCATTAATAAATAAATATTCCTATCGCTAAGTTGTTGATATTGTTTTGATTATGAACAAAACTTATTTTTGTTAGAGCCCAGATCAACCAATTATCCATTTAATCAAATAATGAGCAAATTTTCAACAAGCTATACGTAAGTACCAGTGCAATCCTCAACAAGGGCTGTAACTCAATATTAAACTCTACCTACATATAGATATTATCAAATCTAAAATTACGGTGTGCCTTACAATGGGTGAAATGTTTCTATCAAAGTATTATTTTTGGATATAGATTTAATAGGATATTATCGTATTATTGCCAATACTAATTGATATTATATATTTCGTGCTCATCAAAATGAATTATAAACTTTAACTTTTATGCAAAGAATAAAACATAAATAATTACAAGTAGGGCCCACATGTCAGTCGTCCACGTCAGCATCAAAGTGTACCTCATCGCACCAGCGTGGCAAAACCGCTATGCAAAATCTCACCGTAGGGGGTTATTTGAACGGTTTTGCAAAGGTGAGGGGTTAAATACCTGGTTTTATAGGTTGGGGGTGGAGTAGTTGAGTCACAATAGGTGAGGGAGTTATGTAGACTTGTTCAATATTTTTATGATATTTTTTTTCTCTCCGTTGCAACGCACGGGTATATTTGCTAGTCATATATCATATATGGCAACATGTCAATCGTTCTGTTTGGGACGTGAAATTTGTATGTGCACAGGAGCATTATTTCTTTTTATTCAATTTCTTTATACATCAAGTGTTCGGAGGAATACGCAGCATGCACCCTACGTTTAATGGGCAAGGATAGGGCCTCTTCTTGACACGTCTCACAAGGGCTTTCTTCGCCTCTTCCTGGCACGCTACTGTTGACAAAATGAACTAGGTACTGCTCTATCCGTTTCAAATTATAAGTTGCTTTGATTTTTTTGGTACATCTATTTTATTATACATCTAGATATAATAATATGTTTAGATACATAGCAAAATAGGTAAACAAAAAATCAAAGCGCCTTATAATTTTTTAAGTAACGGAGGGGTACTATAGATCGAAGCTGGTTCAGCTCTTGCTGTTGCTACAGTGGCTCACCAGCCATGAAACTGCGATCCAGTGAAACCATGCTAATAGTAAAGAGGCCGTTGTTTGTATTTGCATGCTTGTCTGAGTAACTGAGACACCCTGTATTGCGCAGGGGTATAACAGTCACACCGTCTCTGATTAGCAGCTTCGGTGGAGGAACGAGATCCTCTGACTTCGCCCTCTCCGACTGCTGAGTGCAGTCAGGCAATCTCCACCGTTGCCAGCAGATCGAAGGCTACCAACTGGGATCAGGCCATCAGGGTCACAGGTCACGGCCCAGCCGCAGAAGAAATCATTAGCTTAACATCTTGTTTGCTGAAGGATTCTAATTTACATGCCTCATCTCGTCCGATTTTTTCTTCCCTGATCTACTAGTGTTTTAACATCTCTAAACTTTTGAAAACCGTTCACTTTGACACCCTAAGTGATTTTGATGGTGATTTTGCTAATATGACATCACGTCAGATGGGGTAAATTGGACTAAGTTGAAAATTTCAAGGAGATAAATCGGACTAGAAATATTTCTATAAAAGTATAAAAATTTATAAAAATAAAAAAAGTAACCAAATATATTTTTACATGAAAAATATATAATTAAAAATCATCAAACCTAGTTTAATCTTGAAAAAAACCCAATCAATTATTTTAGCTTGAAAAATTATGAAACTTTTTAAAGATTTTTTTAAATCATCCTCTATGTTATGCTGCCTGCCTGGGAAGTGTTTGAATTTTGATGAACTTATTTTGTTGCTTATTTTCTAGTAGAAGTTCACGTATCTATTATAGTTAGTCGATATTGATCATCTGAACTACACAGAAGTGCCAGTGAAGCATTGTCAGGACCATAGTGGCCATTGGTTCCCTACCCAAGTATTTTTTCCAAAGTATCTATGTTAGCATGCGTGGCTGCATGCACCTTGCCGCACATATGCATACATCCATCGACCCCTTGTTTAATATATACTTAATTAAGTTTTATAAACTATTAAATTTAATTAAGTTTTAGCGCAATGAATTATAGAGCATAATGTGGCATGAAATCTAGATGGTAGCACATGAGTCATGATATTTATACAGATAGAATCAAGTGTCGTGAGGTATTTGAAGCCATGCACCATAACATAGAGCATAATTTTAGAAAAAAAATAAAACTAGTTTTAAAATTTTTTGAGCTAAAACAAATATCTATGAATTTTCTAAAACCGGATTTTAAAATTTTTAATTATATATTATCATGTAAAAATATGTTTGTTTACTTTTTTGAATTTTTGTAAAATTTTAGATATTTTTCTATTAAAATATTTCTTATCTGATTTACCTCTTAAACTTTCAACTTACTCCAATTTACCTCCTCAGGCGTGGCGCCGCGTCAGGAAAACGACCATCAAAACCATTAGGTTGTAGAAGTGAACATTTTTCAAAAGTTGAGAGATGTTAAAAAACCTTGTTTTGTAGATTTGCAGGAAAACCGGACAACCGCAATAGTTAAGGGAGATAAATTAGATTTTTTTATGCAAAAACAAGATGGCGAGCGGATAACATATGGGCCGCAATATACATCTTCCGTTGTTGCCCCGTGACCTATGACCGTAATCCCAGTTGGTACGCTCCAATATGCGAAGTCACCCTTTGATCTGTTGGCAACGGTGGAGATTGCCTGACTACACTCGGCAGTCGGAGAGGGCGAAGTCAGAGGATCTCGTTCCTCGGTGGAGGCCTCGCAAAAAAAGCAAGTACTACTGTAAAAGTAAAACTACACTACCAGTCATTTTTTTCCTCAAAAAAGAAATGTGCACCCTGCGACACCTAAAGCCTGTTCGTTTCGTCGTAAACGATCGTGGATTATTTATTACTGGCTGGTTTGATGTGAGAGAAAAATACTATTTCAACTTATAATCCACGATCATATACGAGTCAGCGAACATACCGCTAGTCATCAATAATGGCTTTGGGCGCGTTTAGTTGGCCAGAATTTGGATGTGCAAAGTTTGCATAGTGCCAGATTCCCTACTGTAGCATTTCGTTTGTATTTGATAATAATTGTCTAACCGTTGACTAATTAGGCTCAAAATGTTCGTCTCGCAAAGTACAACCAAACTGTTCCATTAGTTTTTAATTTCATCTACTTTTAGTATTCCATACATGTATAGTAAGTTTGATGTGACGAGGATTTTTTTTTGCATAGTGCCAAAGTTGAAAACTAAGGGCCTGTTTAGATTCCAAAAAATTTTGCGCAGATACCCATCACATCGAATCTTGCGGCACATGCATGGAGTACTAAATGTAGACGAAAAAAAACTAATTGTATAGTTGGGTGAAAAATCGCGAGACGAAACTTTCAAACATAATTAGTCCATAATTAGACACTAATTACCAAATACAAACAAACGGGCTATACTACCAAAACCAAAGCGAGTAGTAGGACCAGAGCGAGTCTGCGTGACATGACCAAGCCGGCAAATCCAATGGTCCTTTCAACTTTAGCTATCTTTATTTATTCAGAACGCGCTACATGGATTCTCTGGATCCCTACTCTAAGAGACCAAGGGTATATTTCACTATTGCCTGATTTTGTCTCTCTTTTTTAATCTTGAAAGCCTCGATACTGTATCTATTCCCAAAAGAATGTAATTCTAGCAGCACAGCATTGCATCACGTTTTAGTAACTTAAGTTTCACCAATTATAGATAAAAAAGTATCTATACCAAATAAATACCATTGGATTAATTACAAAATACATTTTCCTAATAAAATA